TTGGGCCGTTTCCCGATCCCGATGATCTTAATCACAGAGGAGCGTAATGCTGAAGCAGTGTCGTGACCTGCAAAACTTACGGCCAGGGGCTTTCAAGTTCACTTGTGACCCAGGGGTGCCTTGCTTCCCAGAAGTGCTCCACAGCCCCCTCCTGCAGCCTGAACTTGGGGTCCCTCGGTCCTTGTCACGGTGCATTACTGCCGCGCAGCGTCACCATGCCCCACACAGCACAGCCGGCCGGCCTCCCCTCGGGCCGTGACCCGTGACGGCACGAGAGGACCGTCAGACCTGGTCGCTCTGTTTACGCCCCCGTGTGCCTCTTCTGTGCCTGTGACACGGTCCGCATTTGTAAACACGAGAACTGGCATGCCACTGAGTATTTGCATGGTACTTACTAATGTGGCTTAAACAAGGGAAGATCTCCCAACATTTAAACACAGATTTTAAGTATAGCCCCATGTAGCTATTTATCTGAAATGACATTTCTAAAAGAGCCAGATTATCATAAATGCTTGAAACCTGTAAGAAAGCAAGCCCGGTCTCCAAGGCCTGTACACCTGCAATAAAGCAGGGTATTGGCTGGGTGAGGACCGCGGATTTAAACCTGTTTTCTCAGCACCTTTATTCTCCTTCGTGCACTTCAAGTATTTGTTTGATTTGTGTGCGCACTGATTTAATCCCGGAGTTGCTTACCTGAGGTTTTAGTTCCTCAGAACAGCAGAGCCCTGGCCTTGGTTATTGTCTGATTTTCCTCAGTCAGGATGCAGGACTGGGTGGCCCTGCCCACAGCCGTTCTGAGCTTCCAGTCGTCTGATTCCCTCATTCCCGTAGCTAAGTTGTTTGTTTGCTGGTTTTTAAAGATTTATTTCTGCATACAGAGCTGGGGTACAGGCAAGAGGTGCAGGGGCGGTGAGAGGATTCACCAGAGGAAAAGTGGGGAGCAGAACAGACAGACGATGGAGCACACTGCTGAGGGAGCAGCGGGGAGACAGCCACGCCCTGTGGGTCACCTCTGGGGTTGGGGATCGGACTCGCACTGAGGTGGCTCAGCTCGCTTGCAGTCTGCGACCCAACCCCTTACGCCACCAAGGAGGCCCCCTGTAACCAAGTGCTTTTTCTTAAGTCAGAGGATCCCCAAGTGTCTATCTTTTCTATAGATTTTTTGGAGCTTGGTGTCCTTCCCAGAAAGGATAAATTTCAAGTTTTGTGTACCTGCCATTCCCGACCCATTGTTCTGTCATTTTGATTTATTGAGCTTGTCTGTTAACATTATTAAAAGCTTATCTACCCGCTATTACTATTTTATTCTAATTAGTTGGCCCATTTCGAGGTTGCCGCTTTCGGCGATGAGGTTAAGCTTGTGTAATTAGCCCTTCCTCAGGCCAGCCGGCTAATCCATCACCTCGGAACGGTCCCCGGGCCTGCTCACGTCCGTTCTGTGCGAGCCAGCTGGTTCTTCCTGGATGTGGTGTAGCACGCGGTTTATCGGGGCTCTGTCTTGTCTGTCACTTACGTGGTGGGAACAGGCACACGCCCGCCTAATGTTCTCCTTTGTCACGGCGACAGCAGAAGGACCCCCTGTCCCCCCGGCCCAGCCTAGCCCAGCTCAGCCTAATCCCCTCCCCACCTGCGTCACGCTGGCCTGAAGCTCTTCCTCGGATACCCGTACCTCTCCTTACTTTAATCTTGTATTGTCTTATGCTGAAATGTTCCTCCGGCCACCCATTAGATGGATCAGTTATGTTCCAGGTGAAGTTTCACAAATTCGGACTTACAGAGTGGCATAAACGTTGGGGTGACAGGGCGGCCCTGAGCCCAGGTGCCCAGCAGCCCACTGTGTGCTGCCAGCCCCGCCCCGCGGAGGAAGTCTGCCCGGGGACACAGAGCCGTGGTGCCGGTACCAGATATACCAGACGCGTGACTGCTTTCACAGGTTTTGAGAAAACTAACCTCCACTTCCAAAAGGCCACAGGCGTGACCTCGGCTGGCCGTGCTTCCCTGCCCCCGCTGTCTAGGGCCAGGCCTCAGGGCACCTTGGCGGAGTGTCCACTCTCCTCTGAACCCCGAGCGGGGGCAGGTCTTCTGGGCCCGGGTGTCCATGAGGACAAGCAGCAGAGGTGTGGAGGAGAGTGTCCCCTGGAGAGGGGCCCGGTGCAGAGACTGGGGAGGGGCTCTGGGTGAGGTGAGAAAAGAGCTGATGGCTGGGCTGGAGTGGGGGGAGGGGCCTAGAAACTTGGGGTGAGCCCAAGGGGGCGAGGCGGGGCTGGCCGCTGGGCCTGGATCTTGTGTAAGGGATACGGGCTGACCTTGACACTGGACCAAGGTGAAAACCAAGACCCCAGTCAGCTTGCTTTGGTAGCCCCCCGAGGAGAGCCTTTGGGGGCTCTTTCAGGGAGGCAGCCATGGAGATGGTGGTGAGAAGGGATGTGGGGGTCGGTGTCTGTCTGTCTCTATACACACTGTAGGTGTTTTTATGCATTACATGCGTGGTACATTGTATATAGTGTACGTTATGTGTATGATCTCTGTAATATACAGGAGATGAGAGCACTAGAATTCCTTAGAAGTACTTATCACAGGGCCCTGGGGCGCAGCGGGTCAGGACACAGCACTGCCAGCTGGCCGCAGTCACTTCAGTGCGAGTTTGATCCCCGCCCCGGGGGTGACCCACAGGGCACAGCAGACCTCTCCTGACCCGCCCGCTGCTCCCCTCAGCAGTGTGCTTTGCCAATCTGCTCCCCGCTCTGTCTCTGATGGATTCTCTCACTGCCCCCACACCTCTGGTCTGTACCCCAGTTCTGTATGCATAAATAAATAAATCCTTAAGAAAAATACTTGTCACAGACGTAAGATAGCTATACTCCGATATGTTGATATAACTGATGCCTTTACAATATACAATTAAGTTATAGTTTCCCTTTTGAAAAAGCAAGCCCCGACTCCTTTTTTGGGTGGGGTGGGGAGGGAATGGAAAAACGTGTGATGAGCATAAAATGTTTCGGTGTTTCCAGTGAACTGTAAGGCAAGTCTCCCCCATTTTAGTAGCTGTCCATAGAACAATGTCAGCATATTATTTCGACGTCAGGATTTTCACCAGTACAGGTGGCTCACAGGTCGTGGGTTTGAGCCTGAGGCACTGGGTGTCTGACTGTGTGTACAGAGTTCACAGAAGTAGCTGGGAGTGGGGGGGGGGGGCAGAGGACCTGCCTGGGAGACATGAGTGAGCTGGTCCCTGGCCTCTCCCTGCAGTCATCCCGAAGGTCACCAAGCACCTGCTCTCCAATCCTGTGTTCACCTGCATCATCCTGGCTGCCTGCATGGAGATCGCCGTGGTGGCGGGCTTCGCCGCCTTCCTGGGGAAGTACCTGGAGCAGCAGTTCAACCTCACCACCTCTTCTGCCAACCAGCTGCTCGGTGAGTCTGCCCTGCGGCCCCTGGGCGGCCGGGCCACCAGCTGCGTGTGATTCGGCCAGTGTTTGTGGAGGCCCGCCAGAAAGCCCAGACTGGGGCCCCGACAACGTATGTGTGTCCCGTCGGCAGGAATCTCGGGGTGAGGTTTGCCTGCCCAGGCGTTTGCTGAAAGTTCCTGATAATACGGCACTAAAATATAAAATGCGTATAGGAAGGGCTGTGGCTGGCCGGGAAGCCAGTGGGTTGGTGTGAACGAGAGACCTGGGGGCAAGACACAGTGAAGGGAGAGGAGACTTAGACTTGACAGACCAGCAGGCTTGGGTCAGACACAGAAAGGCGAGAACGTTCGTGGCAGCCCGAAATCCACCAGCAGCTTGAAAGCTGTGCCCTCCCCTGCTGTCCCAGGCCAGACATAACTAATGGATCATGCACTGCCCCTCCCCAGATCGGCCCGGCTTTCCCACCCTTCCCACAGATGGGCTCCATCTGCGTCCAGGCGCCTGCAGTTGGCTTGCTAAAGCCCAGCAGCATGCCCCCTTGAGAAGCAGCATTACTTAGGGGGGAGGCAGCGAGTCTCACCGCAGACGGGGAGACGGAAGGACCGGAGGATCCAGGTCTGCGGCTTCTCAGCTGGCGGCCCCACGCTGAACCTGGAAACGGCAGAGAAGAGCCAGATCTGTAGGGAGGATCACAGGTCCGCCTGTGTGAGGTAGCTGAGGGCGAGCGGCCACAGGTGTCTCGCGCGACACCCCCAGGTGGATCTCTTGACTCCCGGGATCAGCTCCTGTTGACCGGAAGCCTTGTGAAGACAGAAACGCTAGATGAGCACCTTGTAGACTGCCTACTCCCAGGAACGTGGGCGAGGGGAAAGGGCGCTACTGAGGTCAGGAGAGAAAGCGCTGTGCAGTCCCCGACTGCTCACGGAGACCCCGAGTTTGCAAGAAAACCCCGCGAAGTGGGTGCGGCCGGTTCA